CAACTTCTACAAACTAATTTCTAATACTCTACATGTTGGAAAGGGTTACAACCCTCCCTAATGCACAAATTTATTTTTCGCTACAACCCTCCCTAATTCACAAATTTATTTTTCGTTCTATCTTATTTATAGCTCTTTGGACATATCTTGTTCTTATGGACGATAGAAACCTCGCTGGCCATTATAGTGTTCTACCATTTCCAATCCATCTTCCGGGGAAATGAATTGATTGTTTATATTATGTCATATTTATATTATTTATTTTATATCATTTTTTTATTATTTTATTGCATTTGATTTTCCGTATATAAGGGTCCGTTACAGTAGCCCCCCCCCGGTTGTCCAAACTCTTTAATATTTTAGCACTGTATTGCACCCACCTAGCACTACCTAGCACCCAACTTACAGAGCTAGCACCACAACCCCTAGTGAATTACAGGACATTTTTACCGGGGGGGGGGCTAATGTAACGCTAGCCCCCCCGGTTGAATTTTTCCCTTATAACTTTAGCACTCTATTGCACCCACCTAGCACTACCTAGCACCCAATTTACAGAGCTAGCACTATACTCCCAGAAGATAGCATATTTTCACCTGGCGCACAGTGGGGCGGATGGCAATTCTAGTGGGACAAAACGTCAGCGATGTTTGGGACTTTATTATCTCGTAATACGAGATAGTAAAACTAATAGGCATAAAACTGTTATAATATACATGACACAAAAACCGTACTGTAAACTATTGCCAAATAAATAAAATTATGATATCAGGTGAAACACTTACAAAAAACTCTATTTAACAGTTATTTCTTAATTCTTTGTAATCTTGTTACACCCTGTATATTTTATTTTAAAAAATACTATGTTATTAAAATATAAATAAAATAGATGTTTAATTTTAATTTATATATGTACATATATAGTAAGAATCTAAGACAATATTTTAAACTTTTATTAAAACTAATAAATCATTTAATTTTATTAGAAGTTTTAAGAAATTTAAAAAAGGCTTTTGCATATCATCATGTTTTATTTAACTAGAACATCATGTGGATGTTTTTGTCTTGAGGAAAATTGCCGAACTGACTATTGGTGTAATTCATTGATTTTTTGAACTCAGTGCCTTTCGATAAAGTTTCAGAGTTTTCAACAATTATTACAGCAGCATCCCTACTCCCACTAGACCTAAAGTTCACAGTACTTGCAAAACCCAATCTTCTTTTGAAAGGTCTTCTATTAACCCTTTAACGAGTCTTTGTTTCGTGTTTATACTAGCTGATTGAAATTAAACTTTTAAGCGTCCACCAGTTCAGTTTGAATTCCCTGTCACTAATAAAATGCCTTCTAGACACGATTTATTCTATTTGCGAAAACTGTTTACGGAAAAGCAACTTTTTTCTATTTTCGATATAAAACAATTTAAAATGATTGCAAATGGGTCTTTTCAACACCTTTCGTTTTATTGTCACTAAGAAAGTTGGGATCCAAAAATTGCATCACGACATCCCACAAAACGGTCAAACTGGTCTTAGATGTTGATTTTAAAACGCCTTTGTTTCTTGAGGGCTTCAAAAAATTCTTGGCAGTTGACTTCAACCTAACCTAACCGGTGAATCGGTGAGAGACCCCTAAAAATTATGTTTTTTTTTCAACAATTTGGCAACGCCCGGTACAAATAAATATGGTTTACTTACTACTTTTTGGTAACTATTGGTAACTCAAAAAATCTACATCATTCAATATATCGATATTTGATAAAAAAAAGTGAAAGTTTGATATCTGCAGAACAAAAGCACGAAATATTTTAACGAATAATATACGTGTAGTATAAAAGTAAATAACATAATTTGGTTTTGGAATAGAATGTATAAGTACTTGTAAATATTTTGTTTTCGTATAACTTCTGACTTGCTGAGCAGAAAACGACCTTTAGTTGATAAAAATGTATCGAAATACATACAAAGAATATATATAACCAAAAAATAATTGATGCATTTTTATATCTATTGGAATGCCTACTATTAATTCATCAGTACACATTTTTTGGCTTATTTCTAACAAAACGGTTTTGTCCCGCTAGAATTACCGTCCGCCACACTGTGCGCAAGGTGAAAATATGCTATAACCACAGACTTAACTATGGCCACCGTCTAAAAATATTCTAATTAAAAATTTTTAGACGGTGCATTTGCTATAACCACCTATAACTCTTCTGGGGGTGTGGTGCTAGCTCTGTAAGTTAGGTGCTAGATAATGCTAGGTGGGTGCAATACAGTGCTAAAGTTTTAAGGGAAATATTCAACCGGGGGGGCTAGCGTTACATTAGCCCTCCCGGCAAAAATGTCCTGTAACTCGCTAGGGGTTGTGGTGCTAGCTCTGTAAGTTGGGTGCTAAGTAGTGCTAGGTAGGTGCAATACAGTGCTAAAGTTTTAAGGGAAATAATCAACCGGGGGGAGGGGGGCTAGCGTTACATTAGCCCCCCCGGTAAAAATGTCCTGTAACTCGCTAGGGGTTGTGGTGCTAGCTCTGTAAGTTGGGTGCTGAGTAGTGCTAGGTGGGTGCAATACAGTGCTAAAATATTAAAGAGTTTGGAGAACCGGGGGGGCTACTGTAACGGACTCATTAGACACCCCGGTTAAAATGTTCTGTAATTCACTAGGGGTTGTGGTGCTAGCTCTGTAAGTAGGGTGCTAGGTAGTGCTAGGTGGGTGCAATACAGTGCTAAAATATTAAAGAGTTTGGAGAACGGGGGGGGGGGGCTACTGTAACGGACCCGATGTTTTGTCCCACTAGAATTGCCATCCGCCCCACTGTGCGCCAGGTGAAAATATGCTATAACTCTTCAGGGAGTGTAGTGCTAGCTCTGTAAATAGAGTGCTAGGTAGTGCTAGGTGGTGCAATAGAGTGCTAAAATATTAAAGAGTTTAGACAACCGGGGGGAGGGGCTACTGTAACGGACTCATTAGACACCCCGGTTAAAATGTTCTGTAATTCACTAGGGGTTGTGGTGCTAGCTCTGTAAGTAGGGTGCTAGGTAGTGCTAGGTGGGTGCAATACAGTGCTAAAATATTAAAGAGTTTGGAGAACGGGGGGGGGCTACTGTAACGGACCCGATGTTTTGTCCCACTAGAATTGCCATCCGCCCCACTGTGCGCCAGGTGAAAATATGCTAAAACTCTTCTGGAAGTGTAGTGCTAGCTCTGTAAATTGGGTGCTAGGTAGTGCTAGTTGGGTGCAATAGAGTGCTAAAGTTTTAAGGGAAAAATTCAACCGTGGGGGGCTAGCGTTACATTAGCCCCCCCCCCCCACCGGTTAAAATGTCCTGTAACTCGCTAGGGGTTGTGGTGCTAGCTCTGTAAGTTGGGTGCTAGGTAGTGCTAGGGGTTTGCAATACAGTGCTAAAGTTTTAAGGGAAATATTCAACCGGGGGGGGCTATCGTAGCATTAGCCCCCCCGGTAAAAATGTCGTGTAACTCGCTAGGGGTTGTGGTGCTAGCTCTGTAAATAGGGTGCTAGGTAGTGCTAGGTAGGTGCAATACAGTGCTAAAATATTAAAGAGTTTGGAGAACCGGGGGGGGGGGCTACTGTAACGGACCCAGTATTTAATGTTTTACCCCACGTCATTGTGGGGTAAAACATTAAATATTCTCCGTCCCCAGTTTGTAAGTTTATCAGTATTCTAACGATGAATAGATTAAAAATATTAATTAAAATATAAATAATAATAATAATTAAAAAAACAGAGCCGGATTTGAAATTAGTTTAAATAAATTCTGTTCAAATGTCCGAAACAAAAAAAATATTGTGTGGCATATCGTTGTACTCAGGAGACCGAGTTCTTTCAAAACCTCAAATAAAAAATGCAGGTCCGTATTTAAAAAAATGAAGTTGGCCTCTGTATCTCACAAATTACCAGCTAATTTGAAAATCTAAAAACACTATCAGATAGCCCTAATAAAGTGACTATGAGAATCTGCAGTTAGCTTTTTAATTTTCTAAAAAGTAACGACAGGAAAAAAATAAAATTGATTTTCAAAAAAATCTGTTTTTTTCAAAAAACTCAGCAATCCTTAAAATGTTTAAAACTATTTTGATGGCATCTTGGTGAACATCCTGAAGAGCAACTTTGCCCCGATTTAACCATCTATCGTATCTATTACGGTTTCCGAGATACCATTGCTCGTACCTCGAATTTGTAGTACCCTGTATACCTTTACATGTAACTGAATATCGTGAAAAGCCTAAATAAAGGATATTTAAATTAAAAATAATTAAAATATAATATAGTATATATATACAAATATATATATACCATGATCCAGAGAAGGATCTAAAAAAGCCAGATAAATGCGTTAAGAGCGTGTCGGATGTCTGAAGCAAATAGTATGGACAAACCCCGTAATGCAAACAGACAGAAATAGAAATTCGAGAGGAAACAAAGAAAATCGAATGCATGTTAAGGTTAGCTAAAATGAAAAACCTAAGAACTATAATGTGGAAATTGTAGAAGACTAGAAGAGATCGGAATGTGGAATACAGGAGGTAATAAGATGGGGAGACAAAAAAAGACAATGGTTAGCACGCGTAAAACCTCTGGAAGGGATACCGGTTGGTAGGAAACAGCCTGGAAGACCTCTAAAATGATGGAAGGACATTGAAAGATTGAAGGGGTGGCTGCAATAACCAGGCAGCTCCACTTTTTTTCGAAAACGAGATTTTTAATCAATTACCCTTTAAAAAAATTGACCGATCGTTTCCTGCAACAATCAGTTCTCTCAATATAACAGTACATAAATGGCGACGTTAGTTGGAGCTGACTTGCTCTGAGTTGGCGACAAGAACCGAGTAGCTCTTTTTCGATTTCCCACAAATCTATTAAAATGGAGCTGCGTGGTTATTGCAGCCACCCCTTCAATTAGCAGTCCACCTCTCAAGAACTCCTGATCGACAGAACTCAAGTAAATAGAAGAAGAAGAAATTTTAATAATAAAATTTGGTTTACCTGGTATTACATACGGCTGTCCTTGACCAGCTGATTGACCACCAGGTCCCTGGATAGCCGACACTGTGACATCAAAAATATCACCGATAGCACCTAAAGGAGGTCTAGTTACGATTGGCTGCCTATCAATTCCGCCTGGTTTATACTCGGTATCATCTAAAACAATACCTGGACGTGGTCTATATGGGTAGTAAGGAAAAGCTGTAGACGTTGTTTGGTTATCAGTGCCTGTAAGAAAAATAAAATAAATATACATTTTATAGAATTTAAAATATATTCAAAAGAAACTAAGATAATTAAAAAAGTTCTACTTACTAGTTTGGATATAATTTACTTGTGTTCTGCTAACATTGTGGGTCTGAGAGATTGATGGTAATTCCGAGGTCGCTGTATTACTTAAGGCAGTCGTACTTTTACTATTATTACTAGTTGGAAGGACCTCTTGAATAGACGATTCCAAATGGGGAATATTGTTGTCGTGGTCTTCAGGTAAACTAGTTGTAGTAGATGAACTATTTTCCGATTGAAATGCAGAGCTGCTATCGTGTGTTAATTGAACTTCACTTTTCAACGAGCTGGTAGGGGATATGGGATTACTGACTTCTGAACTATTTTTAGCATAACTGCCTTCAGTAATCAGCAATATAGGAGTTTCCAATATGGGCAGGCCCGTCTTCATTGTCGGTGTGACCAGTGTAATCTTTTTAAAAATAAATAAATATGATTTGTAGTAATCATTAATTTATGTCTCTAAAATTAATTCATTAGTTTATTTCTCTATGTTTAATGTCTTGTAAACATTGTTATATTGTCCTGAGAAGTATTTCAATCTACTAATCTATTTCAAATCAAATTTTTCTTCATTCTTACCTTACTACTTTTATCTGGTTTAGGATTCTTCTCCTTGTTCTTTTCAAAAGCTGCATTTTCCTTATCAATAGCTTCAGAGGTTTGCTGATCTTTATTTAAATCCTGTGGCAATAATGTCTGGGGGTCATCTGTAATATTTTAATATGTCAGTGAAATTTTACTAATAACACAAATGTTCCTGAGAAATGTGTCGGAAGCAAAAAAAAACCAAAGAACTAATAAATCAACTATTTAAAAAGTATAACTATTATACAGGGTGTTTCAAAAAACATGTGTCATCCCACCAAGCAAAAAATCTCACATTACATTTGCAACATTGCAGTCAATCCCCAAACAGTTTGCTTTGTAATGTTGATTTCTAAACATTGTGTCGTGATTGATGAAACCTTGCTACAAAAACATTGTTTTCGAATGGTGATTAAAACGTTTTTTCTGCAACATTGCAACAAAGATTCAAATGAAAGTATAACTATTATACAGGGTGTTTCAAAAAACATGTGTCACCCCACCAAGCAAAAAATCTCACATTACATTTGCAACATTGCAGTCAATCCCCAAACAGTTTGCTTTGTAATGTTGATTTCTAAACATTGTGTCGTGATTGATGAAACCTTGCTACAAAAACATTGCTTTCGAATGGTGATTAAAACGTTTTTTCTGCAACATTGCAACAAAGATTCAAATGAAAGTTCCGCGCAAGTTAAATAGTAATTAATAATATAACAAATATACCATAAGATAAAAAAAAAGGCGTCTAGTTGGCTTGGAAATGAATATCGATGACATTCCCCATATAATTTTACATATAAAATGACAGCGATTTTCTTTTCATAGCCATCGCTGACGCCTTTTTTTCAATCATATGGTATAAGCTAGGTTAGGTTAACGGACTTGTTTTTTTACGTTTTTGGTATCACGTTTTATGCTTTTATGTTTTAGGTTAGCTTTTAGCAACTGAAAATTGAAGTAGACAAAAACCAGAATACGAATATATAGGGAAATTAAAATAACTTTGGTTGCACATCATAGTAAGACCACCAGCAAACTCCATAAGACGACGCATGGTGTCATTGATGACGTGCAACGAAAGTTGTTTTAATTTCCATTTATCATTATATTATCAATTTCATGAGATCAAAGATCACAAATAATATTCAGTATTAATAATTATTCTCAATAATATTGTTTTAATTATGTTATTATTTGAGATCTTTAAAAGTCTCTGAAGTAAGATTTCGACAGACGATGGCAGGAAAAAAGCAGATGACGTCAATACCAATCCATTTATTTCATTAAAAAAAAAGTTTCTAATATTTTTTAAGTAAACTATGGATGGGTTTATAAATAAATTCGTCATGCGTCGTCTCTGGTTGTTTTTAATCGGTTTTAATGGTTTATTTTAAAAATGGCAGATCGTATTTCAATATTATTGGTTTGAGGGAACGATGAACGACAAACGGACGCCGATGCGCATGAACCCGACTTAAGATTTTTGAGAGTTGTCAAACTCTTATCAAATTATAGGTTATAATTTTGTGTCAAATTATGTCAAATAGAAATGATAAATAATTTGCATTTTGCATTTTGGACTGCATTATTACGTGTGTTTCGTGTTTTTTAAAATTAAGTGGAGGAAAACTCGAGGAAAAATTAAGTATTGACGCAGACCATAGCTTTAGTTGATATTCGGTGCCCAGAGACCGCCAGAGACACAGTTTGCCAGAGACTATGACCAGAAAGTTGTAATAGCCACAAATGAAGTTTGTATACCATCTCGTACATGGTACCGAAAACTAGAGTATCTGTAAAATAACATCACACGACGAGGAAATAATAAATTTTAGTACCGCAGAGAGATAATGTCAAAAGATATTGGTTTAAAAAATTAAGATTAAAGTTAATTAACCAACTTTTAGGGTATAAAATTCAGTAAGTGTTATTATTAATAAAATATCTTGTTTTCTTTATTTCTTTGCAATATTTTTTTTATTTGCACGTAGGTTATATTGACAACTGTAATAACAAATGCTGGAAGTTGCTTGAGTTTAAAAGTAAGAAATCTTTTTTATATTTTTTGGTAACTTTTTTTAATAAAATTACTCGATTAGATTTTTTTAGTTCTATAGGTACAGGTTTTTTACAATATTTTGAAGTAATCACTTTTTCAAGTCACTCAAATTTTAAATATTCGAGCTGCGATTCTGCTTTATGTTCCGATTGCACCAACTTATTTCTTTGTAAAATAAAATAAACTACTTTGAAATTAAAATGAGAGACACACCCCACACCTATCACTGTCAAGGATTTTGTCGTTGGACAGACTATACATAAAATTCCTAACGTCATGTTGGTAAATTTTGACAATGACTATACATACCTTTGGTCAAATTTCCATCAATCTTCTCACCAAGCGTATCATCATCAAACGATTGTTCGTCTGTTTCACTGTGAATTCCGAGTTGGGAGTCCAGATTTAATGTTAAAATGTCATCAGTAGGCAGCTCAGATGTCAAGCTGACTAGATCTGTATCTGTCATGGACGGTAATGGCTTGTAAGGTGGTACGTATGGATTTGGTCGTTTGGTTGGACGTCTTCTATTCCAAGGTGGTGCTGTTGGAGGCTTGTAGAATCTAAAATATTGAAACAGTTTAAATGTTTTAACTGTTTTCTTTTTATTATAATATAAAATATCGTTAAAATTTTTAACATCAACAGTTAACTAAAAATGATAAATGTATTTTATTTGACTGCATCTTTAGTTTTATCGTCTAAGAGCTGGCAACATAAAAAACCTTATCATCGTTACATGGCTAATTTTCTTGTGAAGTATCCTTTTGTGTAGCCATTATGAAATAGTCATGTATGTATGCCAGCGCGATTCCGGGGCTTAAATCGGGGACGGCCAATAGAAAGGGTGAAATTTTGACACTAAAAATATTATAAGGTACACGAGTTATTATTGCGAAAATAGCTTTTATTTATTATTAAGAAACATATATGGACAATTGTTGGCAGATATTTTTCTCGTCGCTAAAATGCCGTCAGACAACGCGAAAGAGGCATGAAAAATCAGAGGCCATATTTTTTTTTTAATTATGTATATTTATTTTAGAAGCCGTATACAAAAGGGCAGACAAAAAGATCGTTGCTAAATCAGCGACAGACAGTTATCAAAAGCGCGATATTACTCTAGGAACACGTCTATGAGGTTTTTTTGACAAAAAATGTTGAAAATCGTGCATTTTTTAAATTTTCCGGCATATTTGTAACTTGTAACTGCCTGTTCACCGCAAATTTACGCACGGTATAATTATTTGTTAACCTACCATGCTTACCGCTTTACTCTATCGTTACGAAGTGTCGTAAAAGAATGGATGCAAATACAGAAAAAAACAAATGGCTCACAGAATTATTAAAAAAATTCAATTACTTTTTAAATTTTTAAACTCGAATAACTCGGTTATTTTGGACTTATTTGGAAAACGGTAAAGAGAAAGTATGTTTCTTTTATCGAGATCTACCAACTCTGAAAATATTTGCATTTATTCAAGACTCGCCATGTAGAGAGTAATATCGCAGTTTTGATAACTGTCTACCGCAGATTGAGCTACGATTTTTTTGTCTGCCCTTTTGAATTGGGCATTTTATATAAATAAACATGAAATTCCACCAATCGGCATGTACGTATGCGATGATTTTTTTGTCAAAATTTCATGCCTCTTTCGCGTTGTCTGCCGGCATTTTAACCACGGGAAAAATATCCGCCAACAATTTTCCACGTTTTTTAATAATAAATAAAAGCTATTTGGGAATTTGCCTTATAAAATTTTTAGTGTCAAAATTTCACCCTTTTGATTGGCCACACCTGCTTTAGCCCACGGCCACACAGAAAGCGTTTTTAGCGTTTTGCGTTTTTTGCGTCTCAAGCGCTTTTTGCGATTTTACCGTTTTAAGCGATTTGTGTCCATTAAAAACACGCAAAAGACGCGGCAGGTCTGCAGTTTCTATCAAGATGTCAATTCGTTTCTATCAAGATGTCGACACGTCGCACAGTGCTTCGAACATATGGCTCTAGAGGACAAAAATCCAAAACTTCTCTTTTATTGTAGGCAATTTATTCAAACTAGGTTTATTTGACACAAATGATGAGTACTCTCATTGTACTAAATGATGATGTTCTTAGTCCCACGTTTATGAAAAAAAAAATCTTATAAATAATAAAAATGTTGGAGCTGTATTCCATCTAAGCAAATAATAATTTATAGTATTAAAACCGAGATTAAAACGGTGTAAGTATAAAATAAATCCCTGTGATAAAAAGAATTGAAATAATATTAGAACATGATTCCTACAATATAAGCCTAATATAAGATAAAAATGTTTTTCTTTAATGAAAAAGAAACATTAATGTTATATTTAATTTAAAAAAAAAACTTAAGATACTATAAATTTACTTTAGGACAACAAAATGCATAGATCGTAACTACTCTGATTCAGAAGAGTCACTGCTGACAGAATCTTCCAAATTTATAATATTCAAACCACAGGTAGATGAAGTATCCTCACATATAAGATATTTCTGTACATTATTTTCTAATATGTTACTTTTTCGCGTTGTTACTGTTCTTTTTGTTCGTATGAGAGGTTCGGATGTTAATAGTTACCTCTTTAATAGACCATATCCATATATTATTTTTTCCTTTTCTTGGGTATGAGGTTTTATAATAAATTGAAAGATTGAAACTTTTTTTATGCGGCGTTTCGCTCCAACATAGTGGATTTTTTCAGGCACAAGTGGTATCTCATTTGACTGGAAGGTTCATCAATATCTAATAAAGAACACATTTTTTGAAATACAAATAATTTTGTGTTCTTGTCCTTATGATCAAGCCAAGTATTAACCAGATCGGCATTGCTTATCAATTTTACTCCATCTGAAAAGTATTATAAAATAAAGTTCGTCGCAAGCAGACGCAGGTGAACTATACAAAAATTAAAAGTGTATGAATATGACAACACAAATATTCAATAAATACGATATGTTTTGATATGTTTTTTTAAATGCCTTTTTGAAGTTTGAAAACGTAAAATTTTTATACCCATTTAAGAATCATCTTAAAAAATAAATAAAAACTAAACAATCACGAATTTGTTTAGAAATAAATTTAAAGTACATACCTTGTTTAACAATATCCATAGTGGCTTTCAATTAAGTACGTACCGTTGAACTCCATAATATACAGAACTACTATGAATGTTATTCTTTTCACTGATAAGATAATGATCGCAAAATTTATTTTTAGTGAAAATATTTACTAACAAAAAACGCTGTTTATGAAAAATAATATACGGGATGGTTGAACATTGCTATAAGTATAAAATTACATATTCAGATATTAGTAAATTTTAACTTTTTTTTCGATTTTTGTCCATGGGACGAAGCACTGTGCGTCGCAAGCTCGTGGATTTCCGGCCCATTCAACAATCAATCCTGTGAGAAAGAGATAGGCGAGATCGGCGCGGTTAGCGTTGAAGAGACGAAGATAAAAGATGCTGGGATTGAATTATGGACGGGTCGGGGCATATATTCGGCGACAAACACAATCTACTGCTAGTGCCAGTGGTGTGTGTAAAAATAATAAATAGTATTTGCCATTTATTTTACGAACTTTAGTTTATATGTGTATAGTTTTTTATGTTGTAGTGTTGTGGTTACTTGTTATAATTATAATATAATATAATAAAGAATTATAATTATATAATAGAATAGTAAATATATATTACTAGCTGCCAACGCAATTTTAGAACATAATTTATGAAACTTTTTGGAGTGAAACTTCTCTACGCGCGCTGGGAGTAAACATTCAAGGCCGTGACATACGAGCTATTGAGACGGCCCTGTCACACGAGCTAGTTGTAACGAAACGTGTTAACGGCTTAGAAATACGTAGTGACGCGACGTGTATTTATGCGCAGTCCTCGTGTTTATCAAAAATATTGATATTGTAATACAAATTTTGTAAAAGTGAATTAAATTATTACACGTAAAAAAACTATTTTTATTATTTTACGCGAATAAAACTGTTATACGTAAAATCTATATTTTACGCGTATAAAACTATTTGTTACGTGTAAAGATATATTTGTTAAACCTAAAAAAATATTTCTTTACGAGTCAAAAACTTATTGTTTCTGGTAAAAAAACTTTTTTACGCAAAAAGAAATATTTTTTACGTGTAAAAAACTATTTGTTAGACGTAAAAAAAAATCTTTTCGAGTCAAAAACTTATTGTTTCTGGTAAAAAAACTTATTTACCCCAAAAAAAAATATTTTTTACGTATAAAAAACTATTTGTTACACGAATTATATTTCTCCGAACGTTGAGCGTGTTTTAAAAATATAACTTTATTGAGAAGGTAGGTAATACAGTACTAAAGTTGCCCATAACTCACGTAAAAAAACTATTTTTTACGCGTCAAAAAGTTATTGTTTGTGGTAAAAAACTTTTTTACACAAAAAAAAATATCTTTTAAGTGAAAAAACTATTTGTTACGTGTAAAAATCTATTTGTTACACGTAAAAAACTATTTCTTTACGCGTCAAAAACTTATTGTTTCTGGTAAAAAAAACTTTTTTACGCAAAAAAATACACGTATTTTTTTATATATATATATATATATATATATATATATATATATATATATATATATATATATATATATATATATATATATATATATATATATATATATATATATATATATATATATATATATATATATATATATATATATATATATATATATATGTATATATATATATATATATATATATATATAAAAATACGTGTATTTTTTTATGTAAAAAAGTTTTTTACCAGAAACAATAAGTTATATATATATATATATATATATATATATATATATATATATATATATATATATATATATATATAGATTTATTAAACCGCTTATACGAGCCCAAAAACTACGTTGCTTCATTGGCCTCAGACCCGATTTCGACATTTCAGGCCCGGGGTCGGGTCTGAGTACGATTTCAGTGGTTATCGTCTAGAACGGCTTCCCCACTTTCCCTGACCAAATTTCAGCTGGGCCTGAAAAAATGGTTTTATGTTTTTTATATACGATTGGGGGTACACCGGTATTGTCACGGGCGGCGCCACCTTCGACATTAGTATAAGCGTATAAGCCGATTTACGTTGAATCGATGTATTCAGACCCAAGAACCGGCAACACGGTAAAGCAAACTATTAAAGAGAAACGAAGATATAGCCGTGTTATATTTGGTAGAAAACAAAATGCTCATACTCTAATTAGAATATTAAGAAATTCAGACGAAAAAATGAAAATAAGTATTCTTTTAAAATTATTCCTATTAGTTTCATTTAAAAATATCAATAATTTACGGTCTAATCTTTTTTTGAATTGCTGTCATCACCGGATTTGTAGAAGTAACAAACTTTTATTGTCGAAACCCGTCGTTCGGCTAATAAATACTAGAAACAAAATTATTTCGATCGGCGGGTCAAAAATTGTACGAGTACCTACAAATTTACTTCGATGCTATGATTTCGTTGTAGAAGTACCTAATTTCTTTTTCATCTAAATC